TTGCCATCCATTTATTCTAGTCAATAACAGACACTCACAATTAAAGCTTATTCCTCCTAGTGGAGGAATTTACAGATATTGAGTTATGAAGGCTCCTACAGTGCTCATACTTGCCTAGTGGTGAAGAACTTATCTGCTCAGTCATAAGAAGGTGTTGATGCCTAGCCAGATTATTAGTATGAGTCCTTGGACACATCCCTGCAAGCAGGAAGCAGAACCAGAACCCCACTTTGAATTACATGGGCAAACAGAAGCTGTGAGTCCGTTTGATCTGGAAAGGGTTAACAAGTCTTTCATCTGCCTTGGCCTTATTTTAACTCCTGGCAATTCAAAGAAGCAGTCCTCCTGCTCTCACAGATATCAGAGCTAGCTTGGCTTTCAAATGCAAACATTCTCTCCTCCCACTTAAACCCCAGGGGCAAGGAAATCATGACTGTGGGGCCATTCTTCTCCAGAAACTGTAGCTATTTGATTCATGGACATGGCAGTACAATGTATGCTTTGGTCCTTGTGAGACATATGTAGTCTGGGCCCTAACATTCTTCTACTAATTATTTCTTCCACCATGATGAAGTCATTGAGATGTAGTTGATAGAAAATAGAATAAAAGAGACCACTGAAGTAGGCTCTTCCCCGGGAGAGTAAGTGAGCCTTGGCCTTCCGTGCTTCTCCATGCTTCTTGTGTGTCTTGTCTCTGCGCCTCTACTGACATCACTTCATGCAGCAAGAAGGGAGAGTGTAGAAGTGTTTATCTTTACAAGTAATGTAGATCCGTGTAACATCTACAGAAAAGACATATTTTGAGGCCTACGAATTTTCAGATGGTGAGAATTTACAAAGCACATTCTCATAAGTTTTCACTATTTTAGAAAGATTTGTCACAGGTTTTGCTTGTGGGAGCCTCACACTCAACTACTGGTACAGCATGGTCTTTTTAGCACTGTCAGGAGTGACCTCTCAGCATAGATCCCAGTGTTGCATTGTCAGGTAAGATCCCTAAACCAGAACAAAGGTGGTTGCTCAAATAGCCAATATAGTCACTGCCAGAAAGAAGATTGCTCTCTTCCTTCTCTTGGTGTATTTTCTGAATGTTCTAGCCAGTAACCACCAAGTAATATCCTCTAAGTCTTTATATCCCCCAACTTTTGTTGATCAAGTCATTGTCTCAAGTCATCAGAGCCTCCTGCCCCCACGCCTGGCTGTCCTCACCGGGGCCCCTTGGAGGGGGTGGGTTGAGTCCCCCCGCCCCCCAAGCAGAGCCCTAGCAGCTGAGGACCTCCAGAGCCAGCCATGGCCCTGCTGGGACCACTCTCCACATGTCCTGACAAGCCTCATGCATGAAAGAACTGGCAGAGGAACCCAGGCATGCGGGTCCCGGGGCTGAGATCTCCAAGCCTGCTTGGATTGGGACCAGGCCTTCTCCACCCAGACCCCCCATCTTCCAGTAGGTAGGCGTCACACCCACCAGCTGCTGCCAGCGCCAGATTGGTCCCATTAATGGCCAAGACGCAGAGACTATAAAACCCAGCTCTCGGAAGCGTGCGGCTGCATTCACACTGCGTGACATCTTCACAAATCACAAATCACAAATCATCCTGTTATTCATCGATTGCCTCGAGCAGGCCCCAGTAACGTCTCCTTTATCCTAGCCCTGAGATTATATTCAAGGCTCTTTAGGAGAATGAGACCCATCATCTTATTATCTCTTTTTTCCTTTGGAAAACCTGGCAGGCTACCGAAAGTATCCTGACCACATGGCAGAGTCTGGCAAACTTCCCGCGTTGTATTCAATATGCCAAATACCAGTAACAATGATGGGTCTCATTCTCCTAACCCTGAAAGAGCATTGAAATGGCTCTTTTAAAATCTCAGGTCTAGGAAGAAGGAGATGTTACTGGTGTCTGCTCGAGGCAATTGACAGACAACAGGATGATCATGATCATGAGTCATTGTGAATCTCAAATCTGCTATGTTGCAAGAGTATTCCTCATGCTTCTCATCTCTCTAGTGGACTTTCTGTCCCTTAGTGTAAGACTCAGAATGCCATTACATGCAGCTGTTTGGCAAAATCCCCCTGGTGAACACAGTCAAACTCTTATTATGAGAGCTGCTCAGTGATTTCTAAATTGAAGTCCTTGATAAGGCATACTGATTAAGTTAGTCCTGACAGTAATTCCCCAGGGAACTAAGAATACAGCTGTTTCAGGTGTCAAGGCCTCTGGTAGCTCCCAAAGAACCAACAAACCCTGTATGTCCTATGCCCACCTTTCTCCTATGACTTCATCAAATCAGTTTTCAGGCAAACCTCAGGTTGTTTCCCTTGGCTTCTCTTGGCATCTGTGCTTGCTAACCTTGTACGAAAGAAACCCGACTCCCCTTAGTTAAAAGATTTCTGTTCTACATTGCTAGTGTCAAAATGGAAACTGTTTTACCATCTGGGATTTATCTTCTGATATTAAAAGGGATGTTCTTTGTTCTTCAAACTAAGAAGCTTCTGCCCTTCAAACAAAACAGTGACCAAAATTCAGAAAGAGCCTACAGAATGGGAAAGAATATTTACCCAATACCCATCTGATAAGGGATTAATATCTAGGATATATAAGACACTAGTAGAATTGTACAAGAAAAAAACATCCAACTCCATCAAAAAATGGGGAGAAGAAATGAACAGAAATTTCCTCAAAAAAGAAATACGAATGACCAAAAGGCACATAAAAAATGCTCCACATCGTTATCCATCAGGGAGATGCAAATCAAAACAACAATGAGATACCATCTCACACCACAGAGATTGGCACACATTCAAGAGAACAAAAGCAACCAGTGCTGGCGTGGACGTGGGGAAAAAGGGACACTCTTTCACTGTTGGTGGGAATGCCCACTAGTACAGCCTTTCTGGAAAACAATATGGACAGTCCTTCAAAAACTAGAAATTGAGCTTCCATATGACCCCACAATACCACTTCTGGGAATATGTCCCGAGGATGCAAAAAAGCACAGTAGAAATGACATCTGTACCTATATGTTCATTGCAGCACTGTTCACAATAGCTAAAAATCTGGAAATAACCCAAGTGCCCTAGAACAGATGACTGGTGAAAGAAACTTTGGTACATCTACACAATGGAATACTAAGCAGCTTTCAGGAGAGATGAAGTCATGAAATTTGCTTATAAATGTATAGACATGGAGAGTATCATGCCAAGTGAAATGAGTCAGAAAGAGAGGGACAGACATAGAAGGACTGCACTCATTTGTGGAGTATAAAACAACATAACATGAGTCTGACTCTTAAGGACAGTAGATACATGGGATAGATAGATTGCTCCATAGCTGGAAGCCTGCCTCATGAGCAAAGGGGAGAAGGCAGCTGGAATAGAGAAGGCATCACTAAGAAAATGATGGCTGGAGGAATCGGTTGGGGTGGGAGATGTGTGCAGAAAGTAGATAAAGGAACAAACATGATAACCTCTCAGGGTCTGTATTGCAAACCATAATGCCCAAAAGTAGAGAGAGATTATGGGGAACCATATCTGCCATGGAGACAGAAGGAGGGTGGGAAATGGGGGTTACACTGGGGATATTGGTGGTGGGGAATGTACACTGGTGGAGGGATGGGTGTTTGATCATTGTGTGATTGTAACCCAAACATGAAAGCTTATAACTATCTCACCGTGATTCAATAAAATTAATAAAAATAAATAAAAGGGATGTTCTTGTTCAAGCTTAGTCATTTGTTTTCCATTGGGCTTCAGCTCTCCTGTCTCCAAGGGCCCCTCGTCCTGAGAATCCCAAGAGATTGAGAAACCCTCTAGCCTAATTATAGAGCCTGCATCCACTTGTTAATGCAGACCAGGCTATTTTAATAAATGAAATAAAATATAAAAAAGGTTTGGGGAACTAACCAACAATTGTGTGATGCCTGTTTCATTTCTACCCAATTATTTATTTTTTGGGGACAAATGCCACTGTCTTTACACGTGGCCTTACACTGCTGCCTCTTTCCACATTCAAAACACTTAGAAGACTGCAACATGCCCCCGACAGTTTTTCGTCAGTTCCCTCGCCAGATGGGTAGAAGGGGTGAGTGTACTCAGTTTTTTTTTCTTTTACCAAGGACTTCAAAATCAAAAGTATTTGTATAACAGTGCAGAATGTATCCGTAAAATGTTTGTTTTCCCTTGAAGTGAAAGAAGCTTCCACTCTGAGTGTACAGGGAAAGAAAATCATATGCACACACATCATGACTTCTATGAAATTAAAGTGCTGAGAAGTCAAATAATAAAAAATAACTAGAGGTGGGTAGGAAGATTCTCCATCATAAATTCATCTTTCTTAAGGTGTTTTTGAAAAAAGGATTCAATGATAAGAACCATATGGATTATAGTTGAAGAGCAAAAACACTTTAGAAAAAAATTGTAGTATGAAAAGATTTAGAAGCAAAGGAGAGTTAAACTAATCCATTAATTGTTACATTTATGTGTGAACTCTCTTATGCCCCCCAGTCCTCTAGTGAGGACTCTAGGTAATTTTGGATCAATTTGCTGTGGCCCAGCTGCCGGGAACAATGTACTAGGAGCTTAAGATAAGATATACAGAATAATGGCCTGGAGTGGTAGTACAAAAGGTAGGGCACTTGCACTGCATGTGGCTTACTCAAGTTCGATTCACAGCATCCCTTGTGATATCCTAAGCCCAGCAAAAATAAGTTCCAAGCAAGGAGTATGCCCTGAGAACCATCAGATGTGATCTCCCCAAATAAAGCAAAGCAAACAAAAAAGATATAGAAGTAAGTGAATTAACAGGAGGTCTGTTAGTGAAAATACAAGGAAACGTTACCTGCTTGGGAGCTGGTATTCACCTTACCTGTGTCACGAAGGTGATTTTGCTGTTTACCATGTTGTGTTAAAATGAGGTGGCTAATGAAATAACCCAGTTACATGCAGAGCATGGTACAAACTTCTGCTGAAGTTCAGAGCTTGCTACCAGAGCAAAGGGACTATGGTCGAAATGGTGAGCCATAATCATGAACAAGCATGCCTGAGAGGGATGCAGGTATTGTGGCCACTCATGAAGCAAAATTCAGAGTGTTGAGTGGTGTGCACATTGGGTGATTTGAGTATTACCGCCTGTTGTGAATGCCAAAATTTAATTCTGAACATAAAAATAATTAGATATCTGAATGTTGTTATGAAGTAGTTGCTATTTATACTGTTTTTAACATGTACAGAAATAAAATGACTTAAAACAGTAACGAGCTTCTAAATGAAAGTATAGATAAAATTCTACCATATAAAATTAAGGGAAACATGGTGCTAGAGTCATAGTTTAGAGGACTGGGGTAATGCCTAGCAAGTTAAAGGATTTGAGTTTCATCCCTGGCATTCCTGGCTTTTTGAGCACTGCTAGTTGTAATCTTGATGGCCCCAGTCTCTCTGGGCCTGAACAGCACTACATTGCTGAATTCAAGCATTGACTCGTTTAATCTGGTTACCCAGTTGACTGGGTATCTCTGGGAGAGGTTCCTGGATCCTCTGAGAACTACTGGCAGGGGGGTTGGGGGCAAAATTTAAAAGAATAAAATGCTTAGAAATTGTTTATGTGAAATTTTCTTTCAAGAGGCATTCAGATCTGTTTTAACTGAGCTAAACAGTGGCAGAAAAATGCCCAAGGGGGTAATGTGAAGATAGGCATGAAGACCTGGTTCATAACACAAGGTAAACCAGGACTCAATATGTAGTTGCTCTGTATCTGAGCAGAAAAGCCATACAAAGTACCATTCAAAAAGAATTAATGACAAAGCCTTACTCATCATCTCTCTTTTTCCTCACCACCATGCTCAACCCTTGCCCATCCCTTCTATTGCTGAACAATAAATGATGAGATGGATTCTCTTAACTGTTCTCAGAGAGGAACTTAAAACTAATGTTTATGTTTGCTTTTATCATGTAGCTCTCTGTGATTATCTTTGACCACCTATAAATCTTGCCCTCAATCCAGCCACCAGGCACTGGTAACTCCAGTGGATCGGAAGGCAGATATTGATACCAGGAATTCCAGAAACATCTTCACCAAAAGACAATATAAATGGTATGCACAAATCTGATATGTAGATATTCCAAAAGTAATTTTTTATTTTTATTTAAAAAATGATAGCATCATTTTTGGAAGCAACAATATATGCTGAATAATATAAAAAGGATCAGGTGTAGTGATAAAAAAGGTAAAGGTAAAGGCCCTCCCGTTGATCGTCGATTTGCTCGAGCGGGCCCAGTAATGTCTCCATTGGAGACTTTGTTGTTACTGTGTCTGGCATATCGAATACTCTCGGTAGCTTGCCGGGCTCTCCGATAGAGCCAGGTGTAGTGAATTGCATAAAAATTAAGTATATTTAGCACTGTAGCACTGTCGTCCAGTTGTTCATCGATTTGCTTGAGTGGGCACCAGTAATGTCTCCATTGTGAGACTTGTTATTACTGTTTTTGGCATTTTGAATACGCCATGGGGAGCTTGCCAGGCTCTGCCGTGTGGGCAGGATATTCTTGGTAGCTTGCCAGGCTCTCCAAGAGGGATGGAAGAATCGAAACTGGGTCAGTCATGTGCAAGGCAAACACCCTACCTGCTGTCCTATCACTCCAGCCCAAGTACATTTGAGTTTATTAAATTAAAGCATGCTTATTGGAAATAGAAAAGTATATAAAAACAAAATTCTTTATAATCTTATTTTAACTATGGCAAATCATTTTGCTCTTTCTCTTACTATACTGAGAGAATTGTCTCATGTCCGTATATAGTCTTTGAAAATAACAGATGGTTATTCATTTTTAACCTTTTTCTTTATTTCTACAATATAGTGCATTGTTATTTTACCATAGATCTATATTTTATTAAAGAATTAAAAGGAATAGCTATAAATTAATGAATAAACAGGTTATCACAGGACAGTGAGCCTGAAATAATAACATTTTAAATGGAAGGTGAATGAACATTCTTTTGTTGCATTGATCATTATCATCTGTCCCTCCCACACTCACAGAAGGAGACTGCCCAGATACAGAGTTTCAATGGGAGCTCTGTGGTCACACACTTCATCCTGGTGGGCTTCTCCAGCCTGAAGGAGCTCCAGCTGCTGCTCTTTGCCCTCTTCCTGCTCCTGTACTTGACAATCCTGGTGGCCAATGCAACCATAATGGTAGTCATCCGCCTCAGCCGCACTCTGCACACACCCATGTATGGGTTCCTCTTCATTCTTTCCTTTTCCGAGTCCTGCTACACCTTTGTCATCATTCCTCAGCTGCTAGTGCATCTGCTATCAGCAACCAAGACGATCTCCTTCACTGCCTGTGCTACACAGCTCTTCTTCTTCCTGGGCTTTGCCTGTACCAACTGCTTCCTTATTGCTGTGATGGGCTATGATCGCTATGTGGCAATTTGCCACCCACTGCGCTACACACTCATCATGAATAAGTCTTTGGGCTTGGGGTTGGTTTCTCTGTCAGCAGTCACAGGCTTCTTCATTGCTTTGGTGGCCACCAACCTCATTTGTGAGATGCCTTTCTGTGGCCCCAATAAGGTCAACCACTATTTCTGTGATATGGCGCCTATCATTAAGCTGGCTTGCACAGACACCCATGTGAAGGAGCTGGCTCTCTTCAGCCTCAGCATCCTGGTCATCATGGTGCCCTTTGTGCTGATCATCATCTCCTATGGTTTCATCGTGAATACCATTCTGAAGATCCCCTCAGCTGAGGGCAAAAGGAAGGCCTTTGCCACCTGCGCCTCCCACCTCACAGTTGTCTTTGTCCACTATGGCTGTGCCTCCATTGTCTACCTTCGGCCCAAATCCAAATCAGCTTCAGATAAGGATCAGTTGGTGGCAGTGACCTACACTGTGGTCACTCCCCTTCTTAATCCTCTTGTCTACAGTCTGAGGAACCAGGAGGTGAAGACAGCACTGAGGAGAGTTCTGGGAATGCCTGTGGCCACCAAGGTCACAGAAAAGAAATGAGCTCATGGGGAGGCCATGAGAGGAGCAAATACCATTTTCTCTCTGATTCTAAATTCTCTGTGGGCAATGAGCCCACTACTAGGACTACTGCTACCTCACTCTTTTCTCTCTTCTCAGAAAGGTACAGGTTAATTTCCATGCTGTATCTTTTAATGCCTGATGCTCAACTTGGCAGAAGTGAGAAAATATGATATCTTTTTAAGGAAAGGCATAGTAATTAAAATGAGCAAATAAAAATGTCACAACATTTAAAACTGCTCTCCTGGTGGGGTATAGAAATAGCATCTAAAGAACTGGGGCATCTTGTGCAAAATAGTTTTACATTGAGCCAGAAATGGTTCCGTAAAAACTGGAAAAATCATCAGAAACAAATTGAGTTTATGAACATGGATATTAGTAAGTAAGAAGATGAACAAAGAGAGAAGCTATAATCATATGAAATAATCATATCTGTTAGGTAACTAGTCATGAGAATCCCTCCCCTGACACCCAAATGTTCAGTTTGGCAGTAAAATAGAAATAAGGGAGGTGAAAAAAGGTGAAAAAATTTGAAATGAATGCTCACTAAGGAAAAAATTTCTAATACCAAGGATATGGGTTATGCTATAACAAAATATTAACTAATATCACAAAACTTTGAAGTTTAATATATTAAATGTAATTCTTATTTTTATTTTATTGATTTTTATTTTTATTTTATTTTTAAAAACATTTTAATTGAATCACTGTGAGATAGACCCTTACAAAGCTGTTCATGATTGGATTTCAGTCATAAGGTATTCAACCCCCATCTCTTCTCTTCACCAGTGTACATTTCCCAGCACCAGTGTCCCCAGGTTCCCTCCCATCACCCCCACCCCCCACCTCCTGCCTGCCTCTGTGGCAGGCACTTTTCTTCTCTCTCTCTCTCATTTTGGGTCTTGTGGATTTTGATTGCAATATTGATATTGAAAGGTTATCAAGAATATTGCCGACATACTTTTAACCCTCAGATCTTGTCCAGTGTGATCATTCCCAGATATTATTGTCAAAGAGGTCTCTTTTTCTATCTTACCTACCCTCAGCCACACACACACTTGTGGTTAGTTGTGGGAAGCCAAGAGCCCTCTCATAGACCCTGGCCATGGTTCCCATGTTAGGAACTGCTTGGGACAGACATTGGTGACAGTCTCCCAGGACTTCCTGATCTCAGATACCTGATCTATAGCCACACATCAGGCTGACAGCTTATCTGGCCTTATCTATAGGAACCTCCAGGATGCATCTACTCCCTAAGACCCTTTGATATACAAATGTAAAGCTCAGGATGCGCCTACTGCCACAAGACCCTTTGATGTGCAAATGTCTACCTTGAATGTTAGGTAAAGCTCTTGTTGCTGACCTTACCATATATGGTTATATTGCTTCTGCTCCTGACTGAGCTACCCAGACCCTATATAAACAGCCTGTATCCCTCAATAAAGCCTGTCCCTTTTTCTCTCTTTTTCTATTTCTAAACTGTACTCTGTCTCTTGTGTCTCGTGTTCACTTGGTTGGTCCCTCCTTGCACCATCGGATCAATCTTCGGGCCACCTCCGCGGGCCGGAGAGTGGTTACCGGGGCCCCCTGCAGTTAGTTCCACTCATTGACCAGTCCTCCTGGCTCCTGTTTTCTCTGGACATGGATATTAGTCTTCTACTATATATAGTTTTATATACCACAATTGAATGCAGTCATTCTGTATCTGTATTTCTCTTTCTGACTCACTTCACTCAGCATGACACTCTCCATTGTTCATCCATTTACTGGCAAATTTCGTGACTTCATTTTTCCTGATAGCTGCATAGTATTCCATCGTGTAGATGTGCCATAGTCTCTTTATCCATTCGTCTGCCTTGGGCACTCAGGTTGTTTCCAAATTCTGGCTATAGTGAATAGTGCTTTGATGAACATAGGGTGAAGATGGTATTTCTGTTGTGTGTTTTTGGGCACCCATGGTATATTCTCATTTTGTTTGTAGTTTTGTTTTCAAGTGATGTTTCTGTCTTTTAGTGGATTTAATTTTAATTTATTTTAATAATGGATATAAGGCAAGAAATAATGAATCTTCATGTTTGTGGAAAAAGGAAAACACCACTCTATCAAGGCCTAACTTTGAATTAGCAATTTTCCAAAGGCCATATTGCAAAGATAATGTGGAATTAACATTGTAATAATATTAACTATATGTTCCAATCAGAATTGTTTTAAATCTCAGTTCTATCATTAAGAATTATGAACTAGTTCTAATTTCCTAGAAGAAAGTTTCTTCTGAGAATAACTAGAAGCTCCCCATGCTTTCCATAGCATGTTCTTTTTGAACAACTCTAGATCAATGCTGCCAAAATATTTCCCTTGTCTGCAAATGATGCACTCAGAGGTGTGGTCATTATTCCTTTTATATTGTCAGATTAGCTCAGTTTTCACCTGTCATCATATTCCCTTTTTTGTCTTTTTGGGTCACACCCGGCGATGCATAGGGGTTTATTCCTGGCTCATGCACTCAGGAATTACTCCTGGCGGTGCTCGGGGGACCATATGGGATGCTGGGAATCGAACCTGATCGGCCGCGTGCACGGCAAACGCTCTACCCACTGTGCTATCACTCCAGTCCCATCACCATATTCTTGAATTAAATGCAAGGTGTTGGATGGCCCAACAAGCCAAGTGTGATCTGGTCTCTCATAACTGCCTGATTTTTGGGTTTTCAGGTCCCTTCCAATAAGCAACATCATTCCTAGAGAAGTTTATCAACCATGAAGTATATCTTTCCATTTTTTCCCAAACCCACATTTGATTATTTCCACTCTACTTGTGCATCATCAAACACAGTTCAGGCCCAGGTTGAGGGGTACAGAAGGGGGGTGAGAACAAAAGAGATGGGATCTTTATGAGCATAAGCTGTCTGGCCTGGTCATGCTTAACAGCTACTGCATATGGAAGGAGAATTTTAGGTGTGAGTTAAAACTGACCTCGCCAAAGTTGGTTTACAATTTCTTTGCATTTCTTCAAGAACCTGTTCTTGGTCTTCAATTGCTGCGTCCCACGTGGCTGATGTTCTGAACTCCTGGGACTGGGGCTGCTAACTACTGTGACAAAGACAGACCTGGTGGCATGGAGGGAGGAGAAATTTAGTGTCAATCTGTAGGAGAAAAAAAGATATCTTGGTATCAAAATTGAGAAATCAGAAAGCGAGAAGGAAGGAAGAAGAGTGGAAAGAAGGCATCACTAAGAAGGCTAAGGAGCAGACCGGGCTTACTTATGCTTGGGAACCAGGTGTGAATGACCACCAACATGGTGAGAGCAGCAGCCACAGGCAAGCTAATCAGAAGCAGAAGTCGGATGTGCTTATCTGGCAGGGATAGGGCAGTCAGTCAGAACAAGCCCTCCTTTCTCAGTGCCTGTCTATCATTGTGTGGGTCTCCAGTGTCCTGCAATCAGTTAGTTCCTCCAGTTCTTCCTTCCTCCGCCCCACCTTCACTCACTCACTAGATCCTCCTTCTCTGTTCTCTCTCTCCTCCCTCCTTCACTTCTCTTCTTTCTTCTCTAATCTCTCCTTCACTTTTCTACTTCGTCCCTCTCCTCTCCTCTCCTCTCCTCTCCTCTCCTCTCCTCTCCTCTCCTCTCCTCTCCTCTCCTCTCCTCTCCTCTCCTCTCCTCTCCTCTCCTCTCCTCTCCTCTCCTCTCCTCTCCTCTCCTCTCCTCTCCTCTCCTCTCCTCCCCTCCCCTCTCCTCCCCTCCCCTCCCCTCCCCTCCCCTCTCCTCCCCTCTCCTCCCCTCTCCTCCCCTCCCCTCCCCTCCCCTCCCCTCCCCTCCCCTCCCCTCCCCTCCCCTCCCCTCCCCTCCCCTCCCCTCCCCTCCCCTCTCCTCCCCTCCCCTCCCCTCCCCTCCCGTCCCCTCTCCTCTCCTCTCCTCTCCTCTCCTCTCCTCTCCTCTCCTCTCCTCTCCTCTCCTCTCCTCTCCTCTCCTCTCCTCTCCTCTCCTCTCCTCTCCTCTCCTCTCCTCTCCTTTCCCCTCCTCTCCTCTCCTCTCACTTTCCCTCCTCTTCACTGCCCCCCATGCCTGTCCTGAACTGCTTGAGACTGTTGCCTGTTTCTCCCTCTTGATTCCTCAGTGTCCAGCAGTGATACCTATTCCCCAGCACCTCCCTTAAATCTCTGAACCAGCAGGAGACCAGGATACCTTTTTCCAGTGGGACCTAGGCATTCTCACCCCAGTGGAGGATGATGTCCTGTCCTCCCAGACTGCTGTGCTTCACTCTGCAGGCCAGACCAGCTGTCTCCTTGACTCCCACGTCCAGGGTCACCCGGAGATACCACGTGCCATCAGCATTGGGCACTGTGTCCCCTCGCTGAGTTCCTGGCTGCTCCTGCTCCCCTCGCACCCACATGGCCCACAGGGTCTTAGGGTAGAATCCTGACACGTGGCACACGAGCAGCAGGCGGCCAGGTCCAGGACTGGGGCCGGGGGACAGCCAGGCCTCAGGTTTCACTGGGGAGGAGAAGATGAGGGAAATGGAACTTTGAAAAAATAATTCGTTTTTTTTTTTTAACTTTTTAATTGAATCACTGTGAGACAGACCTTACAAAGCTTTTCATGATTGGATTGAAGGAAGAATTCTTCGTGTTTGAAGAGATGCTTGTACAGAAAACTCCAACAGAGGTATAAACCTGGCAGGAGGGAAGGATTGCTGCTTACCTCGACGCTCCAGCTCTGACTTTCCTGCTTCCAGGAGGCCAGCGAGGAACTGTGGGCATGTTTTGACGATGTATAGCAGGATTTCTTTGATATCTCGGTAGCGATTGAGCACCCCACAGACCTTCTGAGCCCGAGTTCCTGCTTCAGGGGTTGGCCTCCAGGAATCTCCTTGGAAGCTCAAGAGGTCTGATCCATCATATGCCCCATTCAAAAAGCTTTCCCAGGTCTCATCAGTGTGCATCCTGCATCCAAGTGATATCTGGAGCTCAAAGGGGTCTGAGATG